ACTCACACTCTCAGAGTACTCAATCTCACTGTCTCACAATTTTCACTCATCATGCTCAACCACTCGGTACTGTATATGGCCTATACGACCCAAGGAAGATCCATCCCGGAATATATACATCACTGGCCATCAGTCACTAAGTACCGAGGAAAAAGGGCAATCCAACCTTGTGGAGATATCCATCTCCAGATATCAAGTACTTCGGACAAATTCATATCCTAGGAAATCCATTCCTCAATAATATATAAATGTTCAACCACTCGGTACTGAATATGGCCCATGCGACCTAGGGAAATCCATCCCAAAACATATACAACACTGACTAGAAGTCACCCAGTACCGAGGAAAAAAGGGAAATCCAACTCTATGGAGAAATCCATCTCCAGATATCAAATACTTCGGACAAATTCATGTCCAGGGAAATCCATCCCTCAATAATATCATCCGCGCTCACTAGGGGTGTGTAGACTCCGGAGGGGCTCCTTCAACCTGAGCGCTATAACAAGCCAATTGTGGCGTAAATTAATTAGGCCCTCGACCTCACTCAGTCAAAAATTAATAAAACATGCTGCGGCGTGCAGCCCAATCCCATAACTACCACTCATAATCAGACTCTCGGCCTCACTCAGTCATCAATCTCTGTAGTCTTACCACGGGCTCACACTGTCATGAAAACTGACCCAGAATAATGATATGATGTATCAATAATTAACAACTGAGACTGAGATATGATATGAATGCATGAATGTGACTAGTACGAAACATCAATGAAATCGATGAGATGATAATAAGAAATGACCACTATGGGTCCCAACAATATCAGCATAAAGCCTAAACATGATATCTAGCATGATGTACAACTTAATTACTTTATCACATGGTGAAAAACACATATATCAGCAAAGTAGGGCCATTATACAGTGCCTTAAAGACAACGGAGTCACAATCCATAGGGTGCACGCCCACACGCCTTTCACCTAGCATGTGCGTCACCTCCACATCAATCACATAGCATGTAAGTTCGGGTTTCATACCCTCAGCACTAAGTTTAGAATAGTTACTTATCTCAAAAAAGCCAATCCCAAACGTCGAGCAAGCCAAATGATGCGCCGAGAATGCCATTACGCGCGTAGCGACCTCCGAACGGCTCAAAACTAGCCAAGAGCAATTCAAATACATCAAATAAATCCAAAGGAAACAATTACAAATGACAAAGATCGAATCCTAAGTCAAATCCCAAATCTGGTCAAAAGTTACACCCGGGCTCGCACCTCGGAACCCAACAAACTCACAAAATTCAACAACTCATTCAATTACGAGTCCAACCATACTAGTTTCACTCAAATCGAACTCAAAATCGGTGCTCAAAACTAAAAAATTCATATTATGAAACTTTAGGCCAAAACCCCTAATTTTCACCTCAAAATACTAATTAAATGATGAAATCAGTGATATATCCATGTATATTAACCAAGTCCGAGTTAGAATCACTTACTCTGATGAATTTCTTGAAAAACCCAAGAGAAATCGTCACAAGCCGAGCTCCCAAAGTCCAAAATATGAAACAAAACCCTAAGCCTCGTTTATATAGTACATCCTCTGATCCTCCAATGTGCGGTCTGCATAATTCTGCTGCGGCCGCACTCTGCCAAGCTCTGCGGTCGCACAAAAATCATGCAGCCGCACTCCTTAGTTCTTTTCCACTGCGGTCTGCATAAAATTGTTGCGGTCGTACTCCTTTCCTAAGGTCCGCATAAAACTGTTGCGGCCGCATTCCTCTCCTGCAGTCTGCATAAGCTGTTCCGATCCGCACTTCCAAGAGTGCCAGAACAATATAGAGTGTTGAAACCTATCAAATCACATTAGATTGACTTAAAATTTTACACACAAGTCATAGATAATACCACGGACCTATCCCAAACTTTCGGAAGTCCAATCCGAGGCCAAATACTCAAAAGTCAAACTTGATCACCCTTTTCAAATTTAAAAGCGTCCAATTGAGAATCATTCTTCCAAATCAATCTCGAATAACCTGAAAACCAAAACTGACGATTCACATAAGTTAGAATATATCATACGGAGCTATTCATACCATCAAACAATCGAGCGGAGTGCAAATGCTCAAAACGACCGATCAGGTCGTTACATCCTCCCCCACTTAAACATACGTTCCTCCTTGACGTGCCCGGAGTTGTTCCAAAAGCCAACAGATCATTGTATAACCTTACCATGCACATACATGGGGGTGATCCCACGTCACCCTATCCCATATAGGCCGACAACACAACATAACTAAAAATCATTACTTCAGCTTTAGCCCATAAGCTTTAGAATCCAATTTCCAACATCCGGAATTTTCTATAAGATCAGAAACTCGCATTTACACACTGTATAAGTCTGAACAAGTTTTATCAAGCCATAGTCATAACCCAAGATGAAATCACATGATATACCACATGACTCAAACACTCATAGCGATATTTCTAATCACAAGAGCTACTCAAAACAACCCAATGTCGATAATAAACCTCTTATCAAACAAAGCCTCGTTCTAACACCTTCATATATTGCCAATGATGAAAGAAACACGTAGAAAATCATAACTATTCATCATATCAACAAGTCATGGAGCTCCCTATCTTTCGACAAGAACTATAACCAATTTCTAAGGCGACTTTCGATATTATCCTTCCAAATATACCACAATTAAATCTGATAGCACCCATTCTAGGCCCAACGACCTCATCTTATCAAATATAATCTACTCTGCTGACAGGCCACACCAATACTGCCAAGAGACACAAATCATGCAATCCTTGCACCAATACGCAACAATTCAAATGTACCCAAACATAGAAAATGACTCCAATGAGAGAACCGTACTGCAAACTCAACAAGTAGCACCACAACACAATGCTAAGAACCCATCACACACTATAGAACCAAAACACATGAATCTAACACAAAGGATCATATCCCGACATAACTTCGCTGCAATGCGCGACCCCTTCCAAACACTGATCCACATGAAATACCTCAAGTCACAATGCATAAAATCAACAACCACGCGCAATTTGATGTCTAGTACAAAAAGTGAATCACCATAACCACATAGAAGCAAATGACGCAATGCCACACAAGATCGAAAGAACATAACCAATGTGCAATCAATCATGCAACATCCAAATGCCCATCTCCCTCAAATTCCGCTGAAGGTGTTGGTTTATGTTTAGTCAACAATGGCATCCCAATTGGAAGAGTTGGTGGAAATAGTTGGTGTGGATGCTAGGAGGAAGCTTCCTCCTTTGATGTCACCCATGACATCAAGAGGAGGTAGTTTGATGTCACCAATGACATCAAGAAGAGGTCTTTACCTCTATAAATAGATGCACTCCTTCATTTGTAGAAACCATCCCAAAAATAATACAACACATTGTAGTGAGTAGAGAGTTAAGAGAGAAAATCTCTCAAGTGTAATTGGGAACTCTCCCCTTCCTTTGTTAATATTAAAAAGCCAACTGTTCTCTGGTGGACGTATGATTATTTTGATCTGAACCACGTTAAATCTTGTATTCTTTCTTTTACGTTTCCGCTAACAATTGGTATCAGAGCAACATGATTCTTTAATGATCCAAGGAGGAAGAACAAGCAAAGATGAGTTCCATGAAGTTTGAAATTGATAGATTCAGTGGACACAACAACTTCAATATCTGGAAGATCCAGATGATGGCGTTACTATGGAGGGAAGGTTCAATCCATGTTATTGACGGAAAGTATCCTAAGGATATATCAGCTCCCGACAAGGAGAAGATTGAAGGGGATGCATTGAGTGCAATCCAACTATCCCTTGCACCTAACATGCTTTGTGAAGTGAGTACGAGTACCGAAGAGACGACCAAACAATTATGGGAAAAGCTAGAAGGGCTATACCAAGACCGATCAGTGACAACAAGAATGTTGTTACAACGGCGTCTTCACACATTTAAGATGGGGTCAGGTACTTCGTTACAAGATCATTTAGATGCGTTTAATAAACTTGTCATGGACTTACAGATTGCAGGAATTAAAAAGGAGGAGGAGACGCTTGCATGTGCTTTGCTATTTTCATTGACTTCAGGATATCGTGATATTGAGAATTCAATGATGTATAGCAAGGAGCCTATCAAGCTTGAGCAAGTGCGGCAGGCACTTAGCTCTAGTGATGTGGAAAGGCACATTGAAGGAGATAGAGATGACCAGGCAAGTGGGCTCTTTGTGAGAGGCCGGACTAGCCAACAGGGAAAGAGCAAATCAAAGCACAGATCAAAGTCTCGTGTGAACAAGAAGAATACAGAGTGTTGGGGTTGTGGCAAGAAGGGGCACTTTGAACGAGACCGCCCAATGTCAAAGTCCAAGGAAAAGGCGAGTGCATCCACAGTTGAACAGGTACATGATTTTGATAATGATTATGTACTAACAACATCGTGTAATAATAATAGTAGTTATGGAAACAAATGGGTGTTAGACTCTGCTTGCACTCTGCATATGGCGTTCTGAAATGACTGGTTTAGCAGCTATGAGAAAAGTGGAGGAACCGTAGTAATGGGCAATAATGCAACTTGTGCAATAGTTGGCATTGGCTCAGTTCGGGTTCGCTGCCATGATGGAGTCGTGAGGACTATTACACAAGTCCGTCATGTTCCTGATCTGAAGAAGAATTTGATCTCCCTGAGTACTCTGGATGAACAAGGCTACAGGTACATGAGCGAAGCAGGAACTATAAAGGTGATTAAAGGTTCTTTAGTCATGCTGAAAGGCAAGCTGGAGAACAGCCTTTACACATTGGCCGGAAGCAACATTGTTGGATCTGCAAATGCATCTACAGTGCAGTTATCTAATGATGACAAGGCAAGACTATGGCACATGAGACTGGGTCATATGAGCGCACGTGGACTAGAGATGTTGAGCAATCGTAACCTTTTGGAAGGTGAGAAGATCAGCACACTTGACTAAGCACTGCATTCTAGGGAAGCAAAAGAAGGCCAGCTTCAGCACTGGCAAACACAAGACAAGAGGAGTGCTAGACTACATCCATTCAGATTTATGGGGTCCCTCTAAACTTCCATCGAAGGGCAAAAAGAGGTATCTTCTCAATTTTATTGATGATTTCTCACGAAATGTTTGGGTGCATTTTTTGAAGGCAAAAAGTGATGCTTTTGAAGCATTTAAAGAGTGGAAGATTTTGGTTGAAAATCAAATGGAGCGGAAAATCAAGTATCTTCGCACAGACAATGGCTTGGAGTTTTGCAATGAAGAGTTTAATGAATTCTGCAAGGTTCATGGGATCTCAAGACATAGGACTGTCAGGCATACCCCACAGCAGAATGGAGTTGCCGAGAGAATGAACAGAACTCTTCTTGAAAAGGCTCGTTGTATGCTCCTACAAGCTAAAATTTCCAAAGTATTTTGGGCTGAAGCAGTTCACACTGCTGCTCATATTATCAATCGATCTCCAGCATCGGCAATTGACTTTAAGACTCCGAATGAGGTATGGTCAGGTGAACCCTCTAACTATTCATACTTACGAGTATTTGGGTGTCCTGCTTATTATCACATTAATGAAGGAAATCTTNCTTGAACCAAGGGATAAGAAGGCCATATTCGTAGGGTATGTGGATGGAGTAAAAGGGTACAAACTTTGGTGTTTGTCTTTACTCAAATTTATAGTTAGTAGAGATATCACCTTTGATGAATCCTCTATACTTAATCCCCGTAAAGTTTCTGTGCAGTTTTCAGGAAACAAGAACGACGAGCAGATGGAGCTTCCGGTGGAGCTTGCCAAGGAAAAGGATCAAGAGACTCAGGTTAAAGACGAGTCAGAAGATATAGACCTTGAAGAACTTGCTGTCAATANCTCAGAAGAGGTATATTGAAAGGGTTCTCAAGAGATTCAATATGCATACATGCAAGCCTGTAAGCACACCATTAGCTCCTCATTTTAAACTTTCAGAGTTACAAATACCTCAGTTCGAGGATGAGGTGGAGCATATGTCAAAGATTCCTTATGCCAGTGCAGTTGGTAGCATTATGTATGCTATGGTATGCACACGTCCAAATATTGCTCAATCTGTAACTGTGGTAAGTAGATACATGTCCAGCCCAGGAAAGAGGCATTGGGAAGCTGTCACGTGGATATTGAGATATCTCAAAGGAGCTTCTGGTGTTGGTCTGACCTTTCTAAAAAGTGGTGGAGGTATTTCAATTCTCGGTTATGTAGATTCTGACTATGTAGGAGATCTTGACAGAAGAAGGTCCACAACTGGATACATCTTTACCCTCGTTGGCAGTGCCGTTAGTTGGAAGTCCACTCTGCAATCGATTGTCGCTTTGTCTACGACAGAAGCAGAATACATGGCAGCAGTAGAGGCGGTGAAGGAAACTATCTGGTTGAAAGGTTTAGTAGTGGAATTGAGTTTGGTTCAGCTGGAATCAACTCTTAGATGTGATAGTCAGAGTGCTATTCATCTAATGAAAAATCAGAGATTTCATGAGCGCACTAAACACATTGATGTCAGATTTCATTTTATTCGAGATGTTGTTGAAGAGGGAACTATCAAGGTCGTGAAGGTTATCACAAACGATAATGCTGCAGATATGTTGACCAAGATAGTCCCACTCGCTAAGTTTGCACACTGCAAGGACTTGGCGGGGGTGTGCATCAACTGATGCAACTCCGAAGAGAACAGTTGTTAGGTGGAGGTGGTATGTTCAACAATGGTTTGATTCTTCTTGTTTCTTACAACGGGGTTGCCTAGTAAGCTTAGAAGTTTTGGCCAGAGTTGTTCACACGCACGCTCGAAATGCAAACCAAGGTGGAGATTGAATGTGTTTGTTTATGTTTAGTCAACAATGACATGCCAATTGGAAGAGTTGGTGGAAAGAGTTGGTGTGGATGCTAGGAGGAAGCTTCCTCCTTTAATGTCACCCATGACATCAAGAGGAGGTAGTTTGATGTCACCAATGATATCAAGAGGAGGTCTTTACCTCTACAAATAGATGCACTCCTTCATTTGTAGAAACCATCCCAAAAATAATACAACACATTGTAGTGAGTAGAAAGTTAAGAGAGAAATTCTCTCAAGTGTAATTGAGAACTCTCCCCTTCCTTTGTTAATATTAAAAAGGCAACTGTTCTCTGGTGGACGTAGGATTATTTTGATCCGAACCAAGTTAAATCTTGTGTTCTTTCTTTTACGTTTCCGCTAACATCCGCTATAAAGCCTAAATAGACCAATATCATTTGTGCACATAATCAATGAATCAGAATCCCACGTAGCTTACACGAGTAACTTACAAATAGTCTTAGAACACGAATAAGCTCAACAACAACCGAATGACACCTTCATTAACAATAGCAGTTTGGAGTCAACAAATATGACTCGATACAGAACATACATCCATATTGGGCCTACCAATGAACCCCAATCAACTCTGATCACCCACTATAGATAAATAACCCTCCGAAAGTCCACAATGAATGAATTACAACTCATACTATCCTCTGACTAACCTTGGCTACATTCTCACAGTCCACAACCACGAAACAATCTACTCATGAGAACTCCCATTCTCCAAACCCATAGAATATACGAATCAACATATCTGATCTCAACTCCACTTCCTGCATGCCTAACACATCTCTCATACATGATCATCCCATGAGGAGTACTTCTATAATTCTTCCATGCCACATAGCAAATTTTAAATATCAACACTTGATCAACCAGGAAAGTGTCACAGTACCATTGAAGCATCCGAAGTCAAAACACGGTGCACCTTCTGAAATTCACACTCTCCTCAAGCAATACCAAACAGCTATAACATTCATATAAGTATCGGAAACCATCCATGTTGTCTAATTATTCAAGACTTTCCCTTCAAAACTGAACCGTGACTTGCACATCCAAATCTCAATCCTACACAACACACCGCATCTATCATGCCATCATACGGAAATACGAGAATCTCATAATCATCTTTGAGTCGCAGCAAACTACAACCTCAACCAGTTAGAACCCTTACATTTGATCTCATCCGGGAGAAAATCCATATTCGCAACATCTTTCACACACTGGTAGAAAATATACACCTCAAATGTCACGAACCAAGTTCTCCCTCTGTGTACTATCGTGACGGCACCTAGTCTCTACGACTAGGTAAGCCTAAAAATTTGAAGAAAAAGGAAACAAAATACAAAACTAGCAAAACTGCAAATAAGACATAATAAAACTATTTAAGATATCGCTCGACATATACAAATACACACTCCCAAAATTGAATCAACTCCCACAACCCGGAATCTCATGAATTCACAAGCTGTAGAAAACTATACATGGTTCTAACTCCAGAATGTCTAATCAAGGAAAATACAGAAGGTTTATAGTTAAAAGAGAGAATAGAGAGGGACTCCTCGGTCTGCGGACGCGACAGATATACCTCGAAGTCTCTGAAGTTCGCCTCGCCTCACTGATAGTATAGTTGAGCCAAAGAACCTGGATCTGCACACAAAAAAACATGTGTAGGAAAGGGCATGAGTATACCACAACGGTACCTAGTAATTGCCAAGCCTAACCTCAGTCAAGTAGTGACGAGGAAGGTCAGGGTCCTACTAGTTATATGTATATAAAACAAGTTAAAACAGAATGGAATACGACAGTAAAATAGAATACTAATAGTCAATAAAGAATGAAATTACAGAAGAACACAACTCAGTACATAGAGATAGCAATAGGGGATCTCCTAGGATATCGTCCCGTAGTCCCAAACGTAAATATGCAGAGGATCTCCCAGGATATCGTCCCGTAGTCCAAATCATAAATGTGCAAGGGGGTCTCCCGGAATACCAATCCGTAGTTCCAAAGTAAATATCCAGTACAGGGGGATCTCCCGGGTGTCATCCTGTAGTCCCAAATATAAACGTGCAGGGGGATCTCCCGGGATATTGTCCCGTAGTCCCAAAGTAAACACACAACAGTCTCAAGAAAGAATTTACAATTCTATCCAAATTCATACCAAGAAAATTAGAGAATTCTATTCTATACATGCTGCACAGAGTTCAAGTAGACAATTTAAACAGATAGAACAGTTAAGTCAGTTAAGCATGCTTTCCTAAGCTAAAAAGTAGACTTTAAGATACAAGTAATGTTCAACAAAAAGGGAAACACAGATATTTACTTAATGAAAATGGGGTTTTCCAACAACTAGCACGTGTACGCACTCGTCACCTCACGTTCATGGCATTCATATAACAACAATACCAAATCCTAACGGGAAGTCCCCCATACAAGGTTAGACAATCCACTTACCTCGAACTAGCTCAAAATCAATCTGGTATCACGCTCTTGCCATGAGTATCCAATTTCGAGTGGCCCAAATCTAATCAAATCATTTACATAATGTAAATATAACTATAAACAATAAATTAGCTAAAGGAATTGAAGCTATGGTAAGAAGATAGAAAAACGCCCAAAATCCTCCCCGGGCCCACGTCTCAAAATCGGGTAAAAATCACAAATTATGAACACTCATTCACTCACGAGTCTAACCATACCAAAATCACTCAAATCCGACAACTAAAACCCAATCAAATCCCAAAAACTTAGTTGGGGAACTTTTCTCCCATTTTCAAACTTTTATCCCCCAAATTCCTTAATTAGAAGAGGAAAACAACAATAGATTATAGTTCTAAGATCAAAATCAAGATAGAAATCATTACCCAATGATTCTCCTTCAAAAACCTTCGAAATATCGCCTTCCACCTAGCTCAAATTTGATTTTCGAAGTTATGAATTTCAAACCCTCGATTTCTCTATTTCTTCCCAGCGAAGTCCACTTCTGCGGTCATAGGGCCGCATCTGCGGTCCCGCACCTGCGAAAAAAGCATCGCAGGTGTGGAATTCACTTATCCGGGCTGGGGCCGCATCTGCGGTCAATGGCAGCATTTGTGGTCCCGTATTTCCTATTTCCCCAACCGCATTTGTGGTCCCTGAAGCACAAGGCCAAACTCGCTTCCATGGCTACTAAGTCGCTTTTGTGGCACCGCACCTACGGTTCCACATGCGCAGGTGCGGTTATAGCAGGTTCAGCAAACATCAGAAATGCCTAATCCCAAACCCAACTCCATTAAGCTCCCGAAACTCAACCGAGGCCCTCGGGACCTCAACCAAACATGCCAACCAATCCTAAAATATCATACGACCTTAATCCAACCCTCGAATCACATCAAAAAATGCTAAAACCACGATTCACCCTCCAATCTAAGCCTAATGAACTTGAAATCTCAAACCGATGTCAAAATCAACCAAAC